ATTAACACACATGCTGACACACACACACACACACACACACACACCCACACACACACACACATGTTGACACGTTTTACACAAAACATTTCAAATAATATTTTTGATAATTTAAACAGTAAGAAAAAAACCCACCGTTTTCATGTTTGTTTGTTTTTGTGGTGACCATTAAAACTGTTTCCTGTTTTAATTTACAGAAATAAATCCAGTTTAATTGACTTGTTTGTGTCGTTTTGCATCTTATTGGACTCATCTTGTGTCTCGTTTCCATCCTCTTGCGTCTCGTTCGTATCGTTTTGCGTCTCGTTTTCGTCACCGTGTCTCTCGTTTCTGTCGCTGTGTAACTTCTCTATCAGCGCCACGTTGCTGACTTCGGTGTTTGTGTAGTTTTGTGCGTCTCTCTGGGAAACTCTGTGTGTTTAAGGCGCCTCTGAACCAACATGGCCGCCTCCCAGGTTCTGCTCTGTTCTGGATTAGTGTCTCTCTCTCTCTCTCTCTCTCTCTCTCTCTCCCTCCCAGAAGGCTTTGCTGCCGGCGGCGGCGGCGGCTTGTTGTGACGAGGAGCGGCACCAGAGGCAGATGGTGTTCGGGCTCATTCATCAGCTCTGCTCTGCTCAGGTGTGTTTCCAGGACGCCGCTCGGCTACGGAAGCCCGTTGGCGACCAAACTGCTTTTAGACAATTCACTGGTATTTAGGAGCGACCAAAACCAGACTCGTCTGCATGTGAACCACAGGGTGGCTGCAAAATGAATCGGACCCGGGTTCAGCTCATCGGTGGGCAGATCCGAACCGCTGAGCTGTGCTTGCTACGATGAAGTTAAAGGAGGAGGAGGAGGAGGAGGAGGAGGAGGAGGAGGAGGCAGGTGTTCTGCTGCTAAGATGCTGATTCAGGAAAAACACCCGGAGACGCTCGTTTGTCACGAACAGAAACGAAACATCTGCCGAGAAACAAGCAGGAAGAAGCTGAGAGACGAAGCACAAGAGAGTCCACGGCAAGGTTCGAGATTTAAACTTGGGCCGCCAGAAAAACATGACAACGGCGGCCAAAGACGACACAAACGAAACACAAAGCGGTCAAATCGAGACGCAAAGTGACAAAATGAGACGAAAACACTAAACCACTGAATCGCAAAGTGACACAAACAAGACGATAAAAAACTAAACGGCCTGTTGTTGACTCTCCTGTTTGTTTTCTCTGTGGAGTCATGAAGGTTTAGTTTGTTGTTACCATGGATACACCTTTAAATCACAGCACTGGGTCCTTATTTGACAGATGGACTTTTAAATTCCAGGAAAACGTCCTCGTTTTGACTGTTGGTAAACTTTTCATTGGTAGAAAACCACCATAAAAATAGACATTTTCCATGTTTTCAACATAGAGTTGCCATTAAAATACAGAACGTTTTGTTGTTGACTGTCGATGCATCATCCAATCATCCAATCATACCAAATGTCAGTTCATTTTACAGATTGACCAATAAATTAACAGATTTATTATTTTTTTACTGATGACACAAATTATTCATTAAAATAACGTCACGTTTACGTCATTAAATCAAAGAAATATCACCCTTGTTTTAAAAAAAGAAAACATCACTTGTGTGTCTCATGTTGAGTCACACACACACACACACACACACACAGACACGCACACACACACACAAACACACGCGCACACACACACAGCTGTGTGTGCGTGTGTTTGTGAGATAAGAGGTAATTCCCTCCTCTGTGTTTATCTGCTGGTTAAATGTGGATGCTTATCGCTTAGCAACACACACACACACACACACACACACACCGGTTGTACAGTGTGTGTGTGTGTGTGTGTGTTTTCAGGTAAAGTCTGAATCAGCTGTGTGTGATGCTCCAACATCAGGGGACTCAGCGTCACGGCAACCGCATCTTCCCCGGCAACCGTTTCCATGACGAACGCGGGACAGTTTCCTCTCCCTGATTTGTCCTCGTGACCTTTTCAGGGTCCTCAGAGGACGTCCTCTTCACAGGAAGTCTCTCTCTCCTCTGTCTCCTCCTTAACTTCCTGCTTCTGCTGTTTTCTCTCCTTTCGTCCTTCCTTCCTTC